TGTGTTATGTCATATCGTTTGGGTGTTATTTCTTTTCCTTCGTTGAGTCTTTTGTTTCCAACTTTGTTTAAAGAAACTAAGTTGTCAAGTCTACATTGTGAGTCATGCAAGTTGTCAAAGCATTGCAAAAGCTTTTATTCTACAAGTAATAAAAGATCTACAGTTCCTTTTCATATTATTCACTCTAATGTGTGGGGGCCATACCACTTACCTTGCATGGGTGGTTATAAATATTTTATTCTGTTTATTGATGATTTTTCTCGTTACACCTACTTTACCTTATGTGTTCCCGTGCTGAAGTACCCAAACTTGTAAAATAGTTTCATGAATGTGTGCTTATCCAATTTGATACCCGCATCAAGATATTCCGATCAGATAATGCTAAGGAATATTTTGAGAAGGATCTTGTTTCATACTTTGAGAAGTTTGGGGTTATACATCAAAGTTCTTGTCCTCGTACTTCAGAACAAAATCTAGTAGAGAGAAAGAACCAACATGTTGTTGAAGTAGCCAAGAGCATCCTTTTTGCCTCCCATGTTCCAGTGAGATTTTGGGGTGATGCGGTGATGACAGCTACCTACCTTATTAATTGCATGCCTTCTCGAGTCTTGGGGTTCAAATCTCACTTTGTTGTCCTATTTCTTGAGAGTGAATTGTTTCCTATTCCCTTGCATGTCTTTGGGTTATGTTCATGTCCCTAGTTCTCAGAGACATAAGTTTGAACCCAAGGCCCGGAAGTACACTTTCTTAAGGGTATGCTTCCACACAAAAGGGCTATTGTTGTTTTGATCCCACAAGTGAAACTCATTTTGTCTCCACGGATGTTACCTTTGCAGAATCACTTCCATTTTATGGTCATTCTTCTATGGGGGAGCATTCCATTGAATTGTTTTCTTCACCTCTTCCTCTGCCTTCTATTGATTCTGAGGTTGAGTCTCCTGTGGTTCCTTTTGTTCCAATGGAAGAGCCTTCGTCTCCCAATTCTACCATTCCTACTCTTCCTCCTCCTCCTAGTCCTCCAGTTTTTATTACTCATCCTATTGTTTAGAGGTGGTACTAGAGACAAAGGCTACAGCGTGATCAGGTTGTTCCCTCATCTACAATTGAGCATCAGACACTCTCAACCCCTGAAGAGAGGACAAGCCCTTCACCACTTGCTCCAGAACATCCCTTCCCAGACTTGGACCTACCTATTGTTGTGAAAAAAGGTAAGAGGAAATGTACAGCACATTGCATTTCCAAACACCTACTCTTACAACCTGTTATCCCCACCCATCTTATTATTCTTTCTTAGCCTTCATTTCTTCTTAGCCTATACCCAAGTCAATTACAGAGGCCTTATCTAAGAAGAATGGAAGGAGGCTATGAGAATTGAAATAGAAGCACTTTGTAAAAATCATACTTGGGATATTGTGGATTTGCCTCGTGGGAAAGAACTAGTGGGATGTAAGTGGGTGTTCACTATTAAGTATCATTCCAATGGCACTATTGAGAGGTTTAAGGCTTAGCTAGTAGCCAAGGGTTATACTCAAGTATATGGAGTTGATTATATGGAGACTTTCTTACTGGTTGCAAAAATGACCACAATGAGAGTTTTGTTATCCGTGGCGGTGAGTTATGATTGACCCTTCTATCAGTTTGATGTAAAGAATGCTTTCTTAAATGGAGACAGACTTGACTGAAGAGGTTTATATGTCACTTCCCCTGGATATGTATGGTAAGGAAATGTAGGGCAAGGTATGTAAGTTGAAGAAATCTCTTTATGGCCTCAAGCAATCCCCACGTGTTTGATTTGATAGATTCAGAGTTGCACTTGTTGAGTTTGGCTATATACAGATGCAATTTAACCATACCTTATCTATGAAGAGGAAAGGCACTCAGGTTACCTTCCTCATTGTTTATGTTGATGATATTGTCATTACAGGGAGTGATGTAGAGGAAGTCTAGGCACTCAAGACATTCCTTAACTCGAAATTTGAAATTAAGGATTTAGAGGAATTGAGATATTTCTTGGGAGTCAAAGTTGCTAGGTCTAAAGATGGCATCTTCATCTCCCAACGGAAGTATGTGTTAGATCTTCTCACGGAGATTGGGAAACTTGGTGCCAAACCTATTTCTACACCTATTGATGCTAACCATAAACTCTCAGCTGTTAATGGTGAGCTTTTGGCAGATAGGGGAGTGTTCTCAAGACTTTTGGGTAAGTTGTTATACCTTCGCATGGCATGGCCAGATATCTCATATGTTGTTAGTATGATTAGTCAGTTTACGCATGCCCCTAGAGACACACGTAGGGCTGCTGTAGAACAGGTTCTGTGTTATCTAAGGAAACTTCGAGGAGGGTTCTGTATTCTAATCTAGTTCTTTCTGTCTTTTTGTATGAGACATGCATGAGGCTCATGAGGCCTATGCCTCTAGCACCCATTAATATATATATATATATATATATATAAACTGAAAGCAAATTTTAGAATATGAGAACTGAACCAATAACCAAAATAACCTAACCAAAGAAAAAATGAAATCAACATTTTTGGTTCAGTTTTTCAATTTCAACCAAAATATGCTTACCCCAACCTAAGACCAAGCTTCATCCTATCTTCCATGTTTCCTTATTAAAACCATGCAAGGTTGATGATTTTAAAGTGAGCCCATTGTTGTCGGAGTTTTCTAAAGACGGTTAGTGGTGGAACCCAATGCCCTCAAAGACATTCAATGGGTGAAATTAGGCTGCAAAGTGATCAAGAAAGCTATGGTGTAATGTACCTCTGCGGTGGTGTGGGATCCGGTGGTTGAGAGAGTAGAGAGGAAGCTTATGTCTTGGAAATCCAAGTATTTGTCGCTGGGGGGCAGAATCACATTACTAAAAAGCTCGCTATCTAATCTTCCAGCCTACTTTTTATCTCTTTTCCCAATTCCAGTCAAAGTTGCCCAAAGAATTGAGAAAATCCAAAGAGATTTTCTTTGGAGGGGCTGGGAGGAGGAAAAGAAATGTCATCTGGTTAACTGGGACCAGGTATGTAGCCCTAAGGAGAAAGGAGGGTTGGGAATCAAGAAGCTTAAGTTGTTTAATAAAGCTCTCTTGGGAAAATGGATTTGGAGATTTGAGAAAGAAAAAGACAGATGGTGGAGGAAATTAATTGCAGCAAAATATGATACTGACAGTGGGGACTGGGTAACAACTAATCAATTGAATTCTTTAGGTTGCTCCCTGTGGAAAAAAGTCATGGAAGTTCTCCCTTGGATGAGTAGTGGTCTAATTCCAAAAGTGGGGAATGGGAATAGGTTACGTTTCTGGAAGGATACTTGGTGTGAAAAAACACCCCTGGCTGAAGTATTCCCTCAGCTGTTTCAGATCACGGAAAATCAGAATGGATCGGTGGCTAGTCAATTTGTAGTGAGTAGGGGCACTATTATTTGGAGCCCTTCTTTTAGAAGGTCATTTCAGGACTGGTAAATTGGGAAAGTTTCTGATCTCTTGGGGTTGCTTTACAGGCAGTCCATTGACTTGTCATCTGAGGCTTCTTGAAACTGGAAGTTTAGTGTGGATGGTAGTTTCTCGGTTAGCTCTTTTGCGGAGGTTCTAAATGAAGCTGTGCATCCAAAAATTCCAGCGGTGAAGATTTGGAACCCTTCTGTGCCTTCAAAAGTGAATGCATTGGTTTGGGCTGCGTCTCTCAATAGATGCCTTACAAAAGACTCCCTGGTTAGAAGGGGTGTTCAGATTCAGGACCAGCTGTCTGTTCTTTGTGGAGATATGGAGGAGGATGGCAGGCATCTATTCATTCACTGTTCGGTTACAGCCGCAATATGGAATCACTATTTATCGGGGGTGGGGCTGCAATGGTGTATGCCTTATTCAGTTCTGGACATGATATGGAGTTGGGAGCTGAAGGGTGGTTATAAATTGGCAAAGTGCATTTGGAGTGTCATGCCTGCAGCCATCTTATGCACAGTCTGGATGGAAAGAAACAGAAGGATCTTTCAAAATAAGGTCTCTAGCATAGATTGCTTGATTGCCTTTGCATTTGGAAAGATAGTTTCCTGGGTGGCGGCGGCGAAGGACATTCAGGCTTCAGTCCTCTGTTCTCAGCTGAGATCTAGGTTTTTTCTTGAGTTATGATGTAATGTAGTTGTTAAAGTGAGTTTTCGGCTCTTTGTCTTAGGGGCCTGGGTTGTAATCTGCCACTTTTGGCCATTCGAATAAAATTTTACCTTATCCTTTTTTTCAATTCTGATTCCGATTCCAACTGTGAACCAAACGGACCCTAAGTTACAACAACAGTTTCCCCACATTGACCTCAAGGCCAAGGTCAATTTTAGGGCAGGAGAGTTGATAGAAACCAAGAACCTCTCAAAGCAAGCCTCAAGTACCCAGTCCCAAGCCCAGCAAGTGGTGACTAGTCAAGCCCAAAGCACAGCTCCAACTCCTAGGAGGCACTGAACTCCACTCAAATATGTATACATCAGAAGGCCACGTTGAGCCAATGAATAGAATGCATGTAATTGGTGTGACCACTTGTATGAAAAGCTATACAAGGCCGAATATTTCAGAAGAGAGTAGATTCAAACTTCCCTCCATCTATGTTTCAAGAGGACGAGCTCCTCGAAGAAGATCAGAAATGATCAGGGCCTATCAGCTAGACTACCAGATGGACCATGCCACTCTAAGAACATAAAGACATTGTAGTTCAAAACCTGGAAAATTATATTAACCTATTTTGATTTGTAAAAGCTTTCTTCTATCAAAACCATTTACAAAATCCAATACCCTGTATTTACCAAATTATATCATCCGTTTTAGTCAGTCTTTACAACTCATAGATGAAAATATTTCGGGAACAAAACTATCAAAAGGCATAAGTAATATGCCATAATTTTCTGTTCAATTACTGATCATAACAAAAATAATTTTCTTTTCAACTATTCATTTTATCAATGTTTTGATTGTGGATAAATTATAAATAAAATAGCACATGCAAAGGGAAGTTAAAGCTTACCCCCTATTCCTCCAACTGTCAAAATAGAGTGCACTGCCACGCCACAGGCCTCAGCTAAAGCCATTAGTCCCAATACAAATAAACCCACAGAAGAGACTTTGTCCAGAGCAAGCAACTTTTCTCGATCAAGCCCTGCAATATGCTGAACGGCAAGAGAACGAGAAACTACAATTGTTTTCCAGCGGTAAAGAAACCAGACAAATGAAATAATTAATGCACCCCTCCAAGCTTGTGCAATATATTGAGTTGCAAAAGTATGTGGGGCAATCATCACACCTCTGTACACAGAACAGAAAAGACAAGGAGCTTGTCATATGCACGTTAGGAGCATGAAAATGTAAAACAATACCCCTCAAGGTTTATGTTAAAATGACTCACAACTGCGAGAACGCCATGAAGGTAAAAAGATATCTCACAGGGTCTTCTAAAGCACCCCAAAAGCTTTTCTCGTATGGAATTTGTTCCTCAGACAAGTTCCCTGCTAGTAGCAGCACTGAACTTTTCATTGTGTATGCATGAAATTTTCTCAATATCCTTGGCAAGACCAGCCAAGCCAATATGGTAGCAGTCAAAGTTGAACTAACCGGAATTAAAACATTTCTTAGATAAGGGTGCGAATCAAGCAACTGTTGAACATAAGGAGTGAGTTCATCAGATGCCTCTCTAGCCTTTTGCCCTGTAAAAGCCATGGCGTCTACTGTAGACTGCCAAGCATGCTTAATACCATCAACCCAATCACCTCCAACCATATCAGTGGTTTTAGAATTCGAATCATTTGCAACAGATCCAACAGACACTTCTGAGTTCCGTGGAGCTTCCCCTTTGCCTCCAAAATATGATGAATATGTTCGAAGGTTGGAAAAAGTACTTGCGCAAACAGGAAAGACAGTATTCTGGGAGTGTAAACTCAATAAACTCTTGTTCTGCAGGCATTTAGGTGAAGAGGCAACAACGGATTCAGTTCTATAATGCCGAATATCTAGAATAGATTCAACAGACAACATTCTAAACTGGGTGTCCGCTCTATTGCCCCACCAACATGATTCATTTCTATTGTACTTTCGAGTTTCATTTACATCCAATGGTCTCGCGAAGATGGGCACAGTGAATTTCGGTGATCTCGTATAAGAATTAGATGACCCAACAGAACGAATTCTCGAAGCAGCGAAAACAGACTTCAAAATGGAAAATCTAAAGGCAGCCATCATAGCAATTCAGTGTGAATATCTACCGGAATTTGATAGTCATTGCTTATAGACGAAGCATTTCAGCATTTTCTAATCAGGCAGGGCTCATTGACGGATTGACCTGTGGAAAAAGAAGCGCAGACTGCAAATTCAAACAAAGATAATAAATGAATTAAAAAACAAGGTATACATATCAACGCTCGATCTTCAATGACTAGAATGAAATTGAGGGGAACTGATAATTTGTAATATAGTAGTAACTTTAGGTAAAAATTCGGACATGTTTTTGACTTATTGCATTTGGTATCGAGAATAATACTTCACTTACAGAAAAATCAAACACTTCGAATCGAATAGATGGTCAGATACGTTATACGTGTGATGGGATTTGAGAGCAACTGATCTTACAATCGTCGATCACAGAATATTTGCAGAGAACTTCATTAACCTGCTCACAAGAGGCAAGAGTCAAAACCAAAAGAATTAGGAGACTTTCGTCATACTCTGGCGCGACGGGATTCTCTATTCTGTACACACCGTGAAAGAATGGAACCCCGTGGTACATTGGGAACATCTCTCCATCTAATATATATCTGATACTAGGGGGTCGCACGGGATTTATTAGGGCAAATTTTTTAAACTACCCTTATGATTTAAAGTTAATTGATTATTTTTTTTTGATAGAGTAGAGGTGAGTTACACAAGTCTTGTGTATCTCTTCTCCAAAAATCGCACCTACAAATGAACTCAAAAGGCCTAAGAAGCACGGGGAGAGAATTACTAAAGGAGAATTTGAGTCGAGAGCATGTTTCGCCAACCAATCAACTGCTTTAGCTTTATGAAAGGCATGAGAGAAAATCATAACACAATCCAGTAATTCCACCACTTTGAATGATAGTCCAAAGTCTCCAAGGCGGGTCAAGCGTCTTCTTGAGGCAGGAAATGGCGATGAGTGAGTCACCCTCAATGTAAATGGATTGATCTTTTAAGTTAAAAGCCATATTGAGGGCTTCCCAAGCAGTTCACGCCTCAGCAAGATTTATCGATGCCTCTCCAATAGGACAAGCTTTCAAATCCAAGACCTCCCCAAGGGAGTTCTTGGAAATACACGCAACAACACAACAACCCTCACTATTATAGGAAGCATCAAAATTGATTTTGATAACCCCCGGTTTTGGGTTCCTCCAATAAACTGATTTCCAAACTTTTTTATTGATCTTGTCCCTAGCTGCGTTGTTACAAATCTCCAGTTGGTTGTAGAAAGATTGAGCTTTATCAATGATCCCGACCGGATTGATGTTTTTGTTACTAAAAATTTTCTCATTTCTATTCTTCCACATGAACCATAGAATAATACTTGCTTTTTCTACATGGTTGTTAATCATGGTCATGTTAGACCACCAACTATGAATAGACTTCTTCGTCCATTTGGTTCACAATGTCTTGGCCCACTAGTCTCCAAACCTGTTTTGCAGTCATGCAATTTTTGAAAATGTGATCAATGTTCTCATCATTTCCACAAAAGTTATATGCCTCACTTATGTTCATACCCCTCTTCCTAAAGAAGTCTTTGGACAATAGTTTACGATTAAGGAGCAGGAACATAAAGATTCTTATCTTGGGGGGGACATTGAAGCCCCAAACAGTGTTTAGGAAGCCTTTGTGCTGCATTTGCATTTTATCCCTTACACATGCTTCTTTGTATGTTGATCTTATAGTGAAATTCCCCTTAGGGTCGAGTCTCCAAACGACTTCATATTCTTTTGAATTCAAAGGGATAAAGATCGCTTTAATCTTGTTCCAAATTGGCTTTGGGACCATTTTGCAGATTTGATCTTCCTTCCAAATCATTCTATCATGATCAATATGCTCACTAATTTTGAGATCTTCATTAACAAGAGTGTCCTCTATCTTTACATCTTTAAGGATGTCATCCTCCACCCATTTGTCATTCCAAAAGTTAATAGATCTCCCATTTCCAATTGACCAGCCAAGGCCTTTCCTAAGTAAATTTCTAACTTTGAGGATTCCCCTCCATGCCCAAGAGATCCCCTTTTTATCCTTCTCATTCCAAAAATCCACTTAGGTATTTGTTTTTCACAACTTTAATTGACTAACTTTATCTTACTGTTTTGCTATTCTCTTGCACCGCCCCTAATCTCATGCTAATAGAAAAAATAAGGGATTTTTATAAAAAAAATAATAAAGTTTGATGAACTGACAAAATCAAATATATTTTCAAAAACAAATTGCAAACAGAATGAATAGAACAAAAAATTAACCTTTTTGGACCAAATTGTCCTTTCTTAAACTTGCACAACTTGAACGCAATGTTCATCTTCTCCCTCCTTTGAACGTCACTATTATATGAGAATTTGTATATCTGAGTCGTGGAGTTGTGAAACTGTTCATTGGAACCCCACTGTTCAGAATTTGCAGATCCTAGCTTGGTGATGATGACTCCAACTTGTAGCCTTTCATCCACAAGACGTACTTCTAGGGTCGCAACCCAAGTCGAACCCGCTATCAAAGGAGTTGTCGCAAACAACGTTAAGAAGTGACAACAAGCAAGAATTGGGTGGCAAGAATGGTTGTACTTGCGATAGAGTCTGTGTTCTGTGCACCCTCGAATGAGAGGCAAACATGATCTCATTTATCTTAACCATGAATTAATGGAGACTTTCTCCATTAACAGTGGTTTGGCTGGTTGATCCGACCACAAAACACGATTTAGCTTTCCCTTTCATCAATAACCAACACCAATCGTTGCCAGCGGCAACCAATTGGGGATTCAGTGGGGCACAACGATGATGTGATCAAAGACATGGTTATAATTAAGCTTCATAATGGCGGGAAGGGAGACAACATCGGCGACAATGACATGGCTCTTTTGGTCGCTTTCCCGACACCCCAATACTGAGAAAGATGCGGTGAAGGAAGTAGTCAAGGCGCTTGGCAACGACGAGCATAAATCGTTGGATTATGAAGCTCTAAAAGACTTGCCATTGTTGAAAGCTCGCCTCTATGAGTCCATGAGGCTTTATCCTCCGATGGCTTCAGACTCAAAGCACTCCCCCACCCCTTGCCTCTATGAATGAAAATGAAGGTCATCATCAACATAAGCAAATCCCACCGTTCATCTCACTAAGCCAATAGAGAGAGAGAGAGAGAGAGAAAGAGAGAGAGGGAGCGATGGCAACCAATGTATGAAACACAGATGGGTAAAAGATGAGAGAAACGCGTCAAGAGATGTAAAGGGTTGGTGAGATAGGCCATGACAGTAGAGAGGCTGAGAAGAGAGAGAGAGAGGGCATAGAGACGGGGTGGGTTGGTTGACAGATGTTCGGTGAGTTGTGGTATCGGGATACTCATCTGACCAGTGGGACGGAGGAGGGTCGAAACTTGGCGCTTCTCTACTTTGGTTTAAATGTGGCAAAGACGAATGAACGACGTCTGCCTGCACTGAACACCATGTCCATGGAGTCCACACACTCATGGCCTCATGGCTTCTCATCTCATTACTTCTTTACCAAGGCCTGCATTTTAATTTTACGAAATGCCTCTTCTTTGGGAGAGGGCTCATGAGCGGGAGGAGTTCCACCAGTCATATTCTTTGGTTAGCTGCATTATGAAATGCCTCTACTTTGAAGAGGGCTCATGAACGGGAGGAGCTCCACCGCCTGTGTCATATTATTCTTTGTATTTTCCTAGTGAATCTCTCAGTCAAGCCCATTTTGCATTGCAGACTCCCCCATGGCTCAATCTTCTTCACTGGTAACAAGGTAAAGGCCAAATCGGGCTCACTCTTCTTCATTGAGTTTGCAGGGAAGGAGGAGGAAGAGTAGCAGTTATACAATGGAATTTCAATGATGTAATTTCATGTCTAGAGGATCTGATTTCTTGCCACAGACATCGGCTATACAGTGGAAATGCCGAACGGGTAAGGTTCAAATCATCCAACCAACACAAGAAGAAGAAGAGAGAGAGGAAGAAGAAGAGGGAGAGACTAGAGGTCGGATGATTTATCCCTCACCACTGGTGGCTTCGTCATTCACAGGGGGTGCCGATGAGCTTCTCACTAGTGGAGGTGTGGGAGTTCGAACTCGTGTGAAGAGAAAATGAAATATTTTGTCATTTTGTGTCTGATTGAACCGAATGGAATCTATCGACGGTCAAACCCGCGTTACCGTTACATAGTCTACGCTCGTTCGACATGGCTGGACGTGATTGGTGGGTGCACTCATTCGGTGCACCCAGGGGTGCACAGAATGCGGTCTCCCTGCGATGGGTCAAGGTTAAGCATGGACAACGGATGAAGATGTCAAGTTCCTCTGTTCTGATGTACAAGGGAGCAGGTGTTTTGAATGGGTTTGGTAGGTTGAGTTTGCAAGGTTAAATGGATACTCCCGATTTTAATTCTATTTCACAATTTCTGACAACCCAATTGCTGCCTCGGAGATAACACCACTTTGGGTACCAGTTTCAGTAGGACTGATTTCGGAGGAATAGGTGTCAAAGGGTGGAACCAGATCATTACTTAGGGTACCAGTTTCAGTAGGACTGCCCTGGAGATAACACCAATATGATTATGAATCATAACTAAGAATTTTAGATCATTACTTATGTGAATTGATGTATATTTTGGACACCAAACCCTAGGTCGATTTGACCTAGTTTTGGTCTAATTTTGTTGGGCCCCTTTTATGTTAGATTAAAGCAAGGCTAGCCCATTTCATAATGGACTACTATATGGGCCAAACTGCTTTTTGCAGTTTAGTCCATATACCAAGATAAAATTATTAGATAATTGTTAGACAGTGCATGCCCTTAGCTCCAATCAAATTGATGTACTGATGCATTTATTGTAAATGAATAAAAGTACATAAATGTTTCATGTTATGTTTGGTGAATTTCTGTGTAATTACCTCTTAAATTGGACACTTATGTGACTCATGTTAGTTTAGAATGTTCTCAGCCGTTGGATAGACTTAGGGAGTTTATCCTGCCAAGGCTGACACTAATGTGCTGCCAAAGAAGTTGGGGCAGCTTGTCTCAGCTACTAGGATTGGACCCGAAGCACATGTAGTGTGTGTTTGTTTGAAACATTGAACCTGGACCAATTTCCAGTTATGCCCTATACCTTGGAGACTGACGGGCAAACTAGAAATTTACACTTAGTCCCTAGACTCAATTATGGTACTACACTAGGTGTCGGATCGGGTTGTTTTTGATATGCCAATCAGTCAGATCCTTTGGGGGTCAAAACCTAGGTATGTTGGGGCAATCTGAGAATTCACTTGAGTGAGTGATCATAGTGACATGATCATCCCCTTTGTTGGACAAAGTGAATGATTGTGACTACACTCTCTCTGATGGAAACCAAAACTGCCGACAGTCGATTTCAATCGTGTTTGAGATTTGTTTTGCAACATATATTTATATGATACTATATATATATATATTATGTTTTAAGAAAAATGTTTGCAAAATGTTTTAATTCCAGGGACCCATTTGAGCAGAGAGTGCAACACTGCACCTTGCAGCCAAGGGAGATGTCCTTCCCTATTAGGTAG